TGAGAGATAATAGTGAAATATCATATCGATTGATGTGTTGCAACTTTAGCTTTTAGGCAAGGTCCTGATCAGTAATGATGATTGATGTGTTGTTCCCCATTAATGTTTGATATTAGTGTAGTAGCTTAAGCTATTTATGTTCACATACTGTTTAATCGGTGAGATCTAAAAACCTTGAAGTTCTGTGTTGGAGTTTGGTTTCAGACTTTCTTTTCGGATATGTTGAGAGATAAGTAAAATATCATATCAGTAATGATGATTGTTGTGTTGTTCCCCATTCATGTTTGACATTTGCTAGATTGATTCAATAGTCATGTTAACATCAACTTCAGTGCCAGTTGCATCATCAAAGGCACAATTAGAATCTGTGGAAACCGTTCGAGAACAAGCTGCTGATTGGAGAAACATGTTGTAATCTACATGAATATATGTTAAGGCATATCAAATATGTCCTGTGGAGGTGAAGACTCCATTAGTTGCCAAATCAAAATTGTGACACTAACATACACATAGACATATGTCATATATACTTCACCTACATCCATGTGAGGTGTATCACATTCATTTTGGTCCAGGGGAAAGCTTTGAGATAGAAACTTGGGAACAACTATCAGATTTCTGAGTGACTGTCTCTGAAAAATCAAACTATTCTTGAAACCCTTAATTTCTGAGAAAAGTCTCAAGAAAGTAAATGAAACATAATTACAAGAGATATAATTAAGTTCCTTTCCAATTTGAGATACTTAAGGCAACCTAAATTCTGCAGGACATTGAGCAAGACTCTGGATTTTGATGAAACTACATATGAATTTAGTAAGTTGAAGATATTGTTCCAAAGCTAGGGCAAGGGAAAGTGAAACAAACTCATCTACCCAGATAAAATACTCAAAATGCACGAAAAAGTTTGTGAAATCAGAATCTAGAGACCAAAACATCAAAATGATTCTGGAATTCATTGGGTTGGGAATTCCCAATCTATCTGTTCCTCGGCTTACCAGAAAGACCACATGCCAAAATACTCAATCATAGACCCTCATCCGAAATGTTTCGATGATTTCAGGCGAGTCCCTAGAGTTCGATCCTAGATACTATAACTGACCCGTATACTTGTGGAAGTCATGTCTAGGTAATTGAAACTAGATGATTCTGAACCTAGTTCTCGGTGTCTCAAGTTTTTGACAATGTTGTCGGGGATTCAACGGAATTAACGGATACATAGGAATCCAGAGCGATAACATATATCCATTAGTAAACGATTAGGATTTTCACTTTCGTTTAGGTATTTTTATTTTTTTATTTTGAGTGTTTGGGATTAAATTTTCTACCTTTGTTGCCTTCTTTGTTTTGTCCGCAGAAATCGGGAGCAACAATGGTGAGAAGTGAGGCACCGAAAAGTTGTACCTGCAAGAAAACTTATGCGAGAAAATGAAAAAACAATTGCGCAGTACAACACCGAGCTTTTGTCGAGGATTTGAATTCTTCAATTAAAAATGATGAGACATGAGCTCACTCCCACGAATATCCAAATGCGTAATATTGTGGTCTTTCAGGCTAGATCCAATAAAGACCATGACGCACATCTGACTCGGTTCAAGACTAGAAAGCCAAATCTAACTATCTGACATTTCCAATCGAGAGAGGCATACTTCCTCTCCCCGATGGGAGTGCAAATGAGAGAGGCATACTCCATCTCTCCAATTAAAAGGAGTGTTGAAGCACGGTGGTCAACCTCATGACCTAAAACAAACCCTTGTGGAGAGAGAACCCGATAATCTATCTTTTGTATATAGTATGCTTTATTTTATTATATGTTTGGTGCACATTTGTTTTTCTATTTTTGTTTGAAAAATACAGGGAGTTGCACAAATACAAGAGAACTCAAACGCTCTCAAATGAGGATCAAAACAAACACATCTGATGAATAAAGCTCCGTCAATTAAGTACCTCTTCTCCACTCCATTTTTCCATGCATACATTTATCGTTTATTTTTCGCGAGTATTGGTAAAATGCTAAGTCTAAGGAAAGATTCGATAGGTAATAGCATGTATTTTATATGATGTTTTAATGTAGGATATCTAGCGTATTTCACTCGGTTTTACACATTTGTAGGCATTCTAGGATACATTTGGCTTCGATATTGAATTTTGTGTTCTTTGGTGTTTAAATAGGTGTTCACGCATAAAGAGAACAAAAAAGAGTAGAAAACATGGATTACGGAACATCACAGATGAAACAGGAACATTTGGGAGTGTTTCCAAAAAAATGTGAAGCTCAGAAAATGTCAGATTTTACATGTCCAATAACTTTCACTCTACAGGTCCAAATCATGCATTCTCTATATCATTGGAAAGTCTTCATGTTGTGATGTGAACACGTATTTTATATGATGTTTTGATATAGGATGTCTAGCGTATTTCACTCGGTTTTACACATTTGTAGCTATTTTAGGGTACATATTACAGATATACCGACAGGGTGGTTACCATGCCAATAGTTGTTTCCTCGTGACACAGCTATCAGATTCCACCTCTCAATAAACGTAGTAACACTCACTGAATCCACATTATAAAGGTTGGTTCATTCACTACCAATGTCAGGAAACAACTATCATATCCTTAACCATGACTAAATTCAATCACGAATGGCATTAGCTAGAGATTCATATTACAGCCGCAAGAAGTGAGAAAATGCTATTCTTCACAACAGGAACTCCCACTTGCAGCATCAACATCCTTCACCATTTTGTGAAGAATGATAAAGAAAACTCTAGATCCCTAGAATTTCTTGTAATCTCATTGTGATGACATTTTCAGTGAAACCCAATTTCCTGTTACGAATCAGAAGATGGATAATCCTTAAAAAAACTCACCTTTCCTAACACCTATTATAGGGTTAGAGAATCGCAAGTCCAGATTCGAAACTCAAGCTCCAAGCCCAAGACACTAATCCAGATTTTAAGCGAAACTCTAACTTCAACCAAAACCTAACCTAACAAATGGAAGTTTGTTGCGCACTGAAACATCAAGAACAGGACTCTAGGCATGATTCAAACAAAATTTTGCAGGAAAATTGAAAGAAAACTTTACCTCAGAACCGCGAAAGGCGGCTTCCGACCAATGTAGAATATCTCACCAAAACCAAAGAACATATAATCCGATAAATTTACTATGCAACTCTGACAAGAAAAAGATCTTTTTCTTGCTTCGCAGTCGCCGATAGCTAAAGTATAGGCTTCCGGTCCAGAGACTGAATTCTTCTCTTCGAACTCAGTGGCGAAGTCGAATCGAAGAAAAGATAAAATTAAGGGGAAAATGGGGAGAAATTTCTTAATGTTTGGGCTTATAGTGAGGCCCAACTATTTTATCTAATTACAGTTAGACCCATAATAAAACTTAAGAGCTGTAGAACTTGCGTCTGCAATAATTGCAAGAGAAGGTTCTTGAAATGGCGGGTCTGTCGTCGAGCTGGAGTTCGTCGACTGTGAAGCCATTCTTGAGCGTCAGATCGAGAGAGACATGAGTAGAAACGGGTTTGGACAGATCTTGAGATGAAGTTTTTAAAGAGGTTTCTCCCCTGACTGGTTCTTGAGAAACGTTCTCAGATTCTCCATTTGAGTTCCAGTTGGAGTTGGAGTGTGAGTTCAACTTGGACGGTGTCATTACCTCACTCATTACCGACATTTTTGTCTAAATAGAACCTATCACCTGCCATACCAAACAAATCAATCTTATGAATAAGACCCTTTATCTATTGTTCACTTCTTATAGTGTCATAAGTCAGAAACTCGAAACCATGACTGTATACATTTGTGTATACATAGGCAAGTGAGTATCGTACCTTTAACTAAAAAAAGGGGAGAAGGGGGAACTTATCGAGGGCTATATATATATATATATTCAAGATATATACATATATATGTTCATATCAGCTGCACAGAATGCATCTCCAAATTAGTACAAATTCAGCCAGGATTGAGTGTGGACAGCAACCAAATGCGTTTCTAAATTCTATGTCGGCTTCAACGAAACCCTAAATTTATGAGATGAGATCTTCTAAATTAGACGATCTCAGAAAGGAAGCCTGTCCCAAGCTTATAACAAAAAAAAAATCTAACTGAAGCCTTTTTACTCGGAGAAGATATTCAAAAGAAACATAACAAGAGTAAAATTATATATATACTTATAGAACTGGTACGGTGTAACAATAAACAAGAATCGAATCTTTACAAAGACAAGAACATGAAAAAGCAACTTACAGTTGTGCTGGGGAATTGTTGGGATCTGGAAGAAGGAAAGAGCCGACAGAAGCGGAAGTTGTTGACTTCAGTGTCCAACAGCTGCATCTCAATTACGAGAGAGAGAGAGAGAAGCCAAAAAAAATGACATAAAAAAGAACCGATAGAAAGAGTCCCATTTTCACATACATGCATGCATACATGCACATGTAACATCTTCTATCTCTAATATTTTTTTTGAAATGTATTATTAAAAAATATGAAGAGGTTACGATAGAATTTTTATGTGCACATGGCTAAAGTCTGTGGTGAACCAAAATAGGATCAACTAGTAAAAAAGGGAGCAAAGATTCTGTTCAATCCTTATTTGAATATAGATTTAGGAAGGAAGAGACATTCATCTGAATTTTACGATTCTTTAAAAAATGCAATTGCATTGAAAGTATAATGAATTTTTAGATTATAAAAAATAGATATTATTCATCTGTATGTTGACACATGAAACGTTTGTAATCGACATTAATATTTTTTGAAGTTTTAGATATATATATATCATTCCATAAAAAAACAAAGAGTTTCCTAGAATAGTAAGAGAATGCAACTAATTTTTAACACTCCATAGCACCACTCCTTTCAACTTATATATATATATATATATATATATATATATATATAGAGTCATGTTGCGCTCATAATCGCAAGATCAATCATAATACACTATCATAAGTATAATGAAAAGTTTATAAAAATATACACAAAGGAGTGGTGCTATGGAGTGTTAAAAATTGGACCCATAGATCCATATTTCACATGCAACACGGTGCGGGACCCAATCCTACGGTGTGGGACTACCGAATCTGCGCATAAAAATTAAATCGATATGACATATTAAATTAATTACTTCGATATGAGTAATACAAAAACACATACATGCATATATATATATATAGAATACTTACGTAGTCTCGAAGCCAAGATGCATAATGTTGTTCCTTCATTCCTTCAAGTTCCTCCCCACTTAGATTAGGATATGTTGCCAAAACATCCTCGTCAAAAAGTCTTAAAAAACATGTTGTTAGGAAATATATAAATATGTAATTAATTAATTTCTAAAATCATTTGAGATTAAGAATGTGTACCTTTCGTATGGCTTAAGTTCTTCACAGTTCAACAGTATATGTGTGGCGATGTGATTGTATTGTACTCTTGTACAGTTAGCCAATATTCTTCAGATTTGCCTCCGAGTCGTCCAGTAGGTTGAAAACTATCGGGAATATGACCGAAACATGAATCATGTAAATGAATAGGTAAATGTTCCATCACATCAAAAAATGAAGGTGGAAATACCTTTTCCAATGCGCAAAGTATCTCAGGAATGTTGCCTTTCAAAACCTCTAGGTTACTTCTTCTCAGAGATCTTGCACATATATCTCGAAAGAATGTGCTGATACCGCATAATGCTCCGTGGACATTGGGTTTCAATAGCTCCGCAAATGCAATAGGAATGAGTCTTTGCATGAATACATGACAATCATGACTCTTCATTCCCATAAGCTTTAATGAATCAGTATCAACACGTCGCACCAATTTGGATGCATATCCATCAGGGAATTTAACCTCTTCTTTTAACCATTTAAACAAGACCGTTTTACCTGGTCTTGTGAGTCTGAATATCGGCACAGGTGCGTGACCATCACGTGTCAACTCCAACTATTTTCTCTTGCATATATCTTTCAAGTCCTTCCTCGAGTTGATGTTGTCTTTACTTCTCCCTGACACATTCAGAACGGTGTTGATGATGTTATCAAAAAAGGATGTTGCCACACATGCCGACGTAGAAAATGTTTCTACGGTTACCTTTCCAAAGACGGGAGTTGTCCAAACACGTTTAGAGTGCGTCCAAATACGTTTAGAGTGCGTCCAAACACGTTTAGAGTGTATCGAAACATTTTTAGAGTGGATGTTGCCACACATGCCGACGTAGAAAATGTTTCTACGGTTACCTTTCCAAAGACGGGAGTTGTCCAAACACGTTTAGAGTGCGTCCAAATACGTTTAGAGTGCGTCCAAACACGTTTAGAGTGTATCGAAACATTTTTAGAGTGCGTCAAAACATGTTTAGAGTGCGTCGAAACATGTTTAGAGTGCGTCGAAACATGTTTACAGTGTGTCAAAACACGTTCAGAGTGCATCCAAACACATTCAGAGTGCATCCAACCATGTTTAGAGTGCGTCGAAACATACTTAAAGTGCATCCAAACATGTTTAGACTGCGCATAGACCCATAGACCCAATATGGATCTACTCTAAATCAACCATCCTAGTAACAGTTGTATGGACCCATATGGGTCCCGACAGTGAGTAAACGGACGTGATCTCTCCCCGATATGGCCCGGAAGCCAACCCGGACGTGATCTCTCCCCGACGTTTAATGGAAGATCTCCCCAAATTACAGATATACTTTCAGGAGATGCAATCGAAACCTGGGAAGTTAACCATAGATCCATATTACATATTAGCCTACACATGACATTAGTGTGTGGTTAGGTACTTTGCCTTTTGACTTTGTGACGTAACGAATACAATATGATGCGCTTACACGAAGTTACACACACATACATATATATACACACACACATACACACACACACGTCTAATGTGTGAGAATGAATCTCCTTGCGAACCCACTCTAAACGTTGTTAGGCAATTCGAATATGGTCCCGACACCCATGGTCATCTGAGATGAACCCATATGGCTAGTATTATCTGGTTTTGATCTATCTTTTCTTTTTAGAGCGTATACCCGTTTTTCATCTCAGATGACCATCGGTACATTACGGTTCGGTTCTGAAAAATCGTATTGAGACACCCACCCCTACTTTCGACTATGGAGGTTGCTATAGAAAGGTTGCGTAATTCTGATATATTCTGCAATACCTCACAGTAAATTGTTACAACACTATCCCTTAAATTTGTTAGAACAGTATCTCTTATATATGGGTAGTGAATACTAATATCCATTTGTGAAAATGCAAAGAAAATCGAGAATATTCCTTTATTTTCTCGTTCAATTGCAATTTGGGCAGTGAGAAAGCTATAGGCTCTCGTCGAGCTCGAAGAGGATATTGATCTAGGGCTAAATCACTCTTCAAATCCTACGGTTCACGGCAGGAAGATCTTGTATACCCATTTAGAGCCTATAGCTTTCTCACTGCCCAAATTACAGATATACCGACAGATGCACTCTAAATATTTCCATTTCGTCCGTGATGTTCCGTAATCTATGATTTTCCACTTTTTTTCTCTCTTTATGCGTGAACATCTATTTAAATACCAAAGAACACGAAATCCAATATTGAAGCTAAATGTACCCTAAAATAGCTACAAATGTGTAAAACCGAGTGAAATACGCTAGACATCCTATATCAAAACATCATATAAAATACGTGTTCACATCACAACATGAAGACTTTCCAATGATGTAGAGAATGCATGATTTGGACCTATAGAGTGAAAGTTATTGGACATGTAAAATCTCACATTTTCTGAGCTTCATATTTTTTTGGAAACACTCCCAAATGTTCATGTTTCATCTGTGATGTTCCGTAATCCATGTTTTCTACTCCTTTTGTTCTCTTTATGCGTGAACACCTATTTAAACACCAAAGAACACAAAATTCAATATCGAAGCCAAATGTATCCTAGAATGCCTACAAATGTGTAAAACCGAGTAAAATACGCTAGATATCCTACATTAAAACATCATATAAAATACGTGCTATTACCTATCGAATCTTTCCTTAGACTTAGCATTTTACCAATACTCGCGCAAAATAAACGATAAATGTATGCATGGAAAAATGGAGTGGAGAAGAGGTACTTAATTGACGGAGCTTTATTCGTCGGATGTGTTTGTTTTGATCCTCATTTGAGAGCGTTTGAGTTCTCTTGTATTTGTGCAACTCCCTGTATTTTTCAAACAAAAATAGAAAAACAAATGTGCACCAAACATATAATAAAATAAAGCATACTATATACAAAAGATAGATTATCGGGTTCTCTCTCCACAAGGGTTTGTTTTAGGTCATGAGGTTGACCACCGTGCTTCAACACTCCTTTTAATTGGAGAGATGGAGTATGCCTCTCTCATTTGCACTCCCATCGGGGAGAGGAAGTATGCCTCTCTCGATTGGAAATGTCAGATAGTTAGATTTGGCTTTCTAGTCTTGAACCGAGTCAGATGTGCGTCATGGTCTTTATTGGATCTAGCCTGAAAGACCACAATATTACGCATTTGGATATTCGTGGGAGTGAGCTCATGTCTCATCATTTTTAATTGAAGAATTCAAATCCTCGACAAAAGCTCGGTGTTGTACTGCGCAATTGTTTTTTCATTTTCTCGCATAAGTTTTCTTGCAGGTATAACTTTTCGGTGCCTCACTTCTCACCATTGTTGCTCCCGATTTCTGCGGACAAAACAAAGAAGGCAACAAAGGTAGAAAATTTAATCCGAAACCCTCAAAATAAAAAAATAAAAATACCTAAACCAAAGTGAAAATCCTAATCGTTTACTAATGGATATATGTTATCCCTCTGGATTCCTATGTATCCGTTAATTCCGTTGAATCCCCGACAACATCGTCAAAAACTTGAGACACCGAGAACTAGGTTCGGAATCATCTAGTTTCAATTACCTAGACATGACTTCCACAAGTATACGGGTCAATTATAGTATCTAGGATCGAACTCTAGGGACTCGCCTGAAATCATCGAAACATTTCGGATGAGGGTCTATGATTGAGTATTTTGGCATGTGGTCTTTCCGGTAAGCCGAGGAACAGATAGATTGGGAATTCTCAGCCTAATGAATTCCAGAATCATTTTGATGTTTTGGTCTCTAGATTCTGATTTCACAAACTTTTTCGTGCATTTTGAGTATTTTATCTGGGTAGATGAGTTTGTTTCACTTTTCCTTGCCCTAGCTTTGGAACAATATCTTCAACTTACTAAATTCATATGTAGTTTCATCAAAATCCAGAGTCTTGCTCAGTGTCCTGCAGAATTTAGGTTGCCTTAAGTTTCTCAAATTGGAAAGGAACTTAATTATATCTCTTGTAATTATGTTTCATTTACTTTCTTGGGACTTTTCTCAGAAATTAAGGGTTTCAAGAATAGTTTGATTTTTCAGAGACAGTCACTCAGAAATCTGATAGTTGTTCCCAAGTTTCTATCTCAAAGCTTTCCCCTGGACCAAAATGAATGTGATACACCTCACATGGATGTAGGTGAAGTATATATGACATATGTCTATGTGTATGTTAGTGTCACAATTTTGATTTGGCAACTAATGGAGTCTTCAGCTCCACAGGACATATTTGATATGCCTTAACATATATTCATGTAGATGACAACATGTTTCTCCAATCAGCAGCTTGTTCTCGAACGGTTTCCACAGATTCTAATTGTGCCTTTGATGATGCACCTGGCACTGATGTTGATGTTGACATGACTATTGAATCAATCTAGCAAATGTCAAACATGAATGGGGAACAACACAACAATCATCATTACTGATCTGATATTTTACTTATCTCTCAACATATCCGAAAAGAAAGTCTGAAACCAAACTCCAACACAGAACTTCAAGGCTTTTAGATCTCACCGATTAAACAGTATGTGAACATAAATAGCTTAAGCTACTACACTAATATCAAACATTAATGGGGAACAACACATCAATCATCATTACTGATCAGGACCTGGCCTAAAAGCTAAAGTTGCAATACATCAATCGATATGATATTTCACTATTATCTCTCAATATATCCGAAAATCAAGTACAAAACCAGTAAATTCAAAACATAACGAATCACAGAGATTTGAATGCGCAATCAATAATCAGAAAACAAGAAAACAGAAATCAACGATGTTACCTGTGGATTCGCCTTCAGAGATTTGAGTATTGATGTTCAATGAATGCAACGAGTAATTTGAATCGATGGAGTGGAGAGTGTGACACCAACTAGGGGTGGGCAAAAATACCCGGATTTCGAGTACCCGACCCGACCCGAAGGTCGGGTACTCGAAAATTCGGGTATCCGAGCGAATGAGACATGAGATCGGGTATTGGTATTAGAATACCCGAATTTTCGGGTTCGGGTTCGGGTAATGGTTATTATCTCACGGGTACCCTCGGGTACCCGGATAATAAAAAAATATGTTTTAAAATTTAGATTTTTTATTAGATTTTATGTTATTTTATTTAATATTAATGATTATATAGATATTATTGGGATATATCTTTGATGTATTTTTTTAAAATAAAGTTATTTTAGATATAAATACAATTTAAATTTATTTTGAATGATTTTGTGTATGTATATATAAATATATTTAAAAATAATAATTGAAAAAATTACAAATATTTGGGTTTGGGTATCCTCGGGTATCCGGAAATTATCTCACGGGTTTTCGAATTCGGGTACTCGATTTTACGGGTATGAGATCGGGTAATAAAACATATAACCCGAGATGTTCGGGTTCGGATACCCTCAAATTTCCGGGTACCCGACCCGTGCCCACCCCTAACACCAACTTAATCATTTTATTTTAAACGCAATATTAAAACTATGTCGTTTAGGAACCAGCCAAATCTGCGCATAAAAATTATGTTCCATCTTAAACAAATCCAATCCTATGAAGAACTTATTCCTACACGAAGGAGAAGACAAAGGGGGAGGCCTGTAGATGATTCGATAAGAGCATTCCTACACGAAGGAATCGAGCAAACATGAAGAACGTCTCATGTTCTCCCGGCCAGGCGTACTGCATTAGCAAAGCCCTAGCTGACGTCAGCATCTGTCGGAGCCTGTAGACGAATGCTAATGTGAGCCAAATCCAGAAAGAAGTCAAGTATTTCTTATGCAAGAAGAGTGGACATATTAAGAAAGACTACAAGAAAATAAAAGAATGGTTCGAAAGTAATGGCCAATATAAAATTTTTGTTTGCTTTGAATCGAACATTATTGAAGTACCTAATAGTACATGGTAGTTAGATTCTGATGCAACAACTCATGTTTCTCATATCAAACATGGATTTCATATGATCTAACCCATAGATCCATATTACATATGTGCAAACATGAAGTTCGCGATTTGTGCAGTATCTCTTATATATGCTATCTAAGAAGCATTTTTTAAAATGTGTGAGAACGAATGAGATCCTAAATTTAGGAGAGCTAAATAACGAATTTATTTGTTATTAAAATAATTCATATCTATTCATTGTGATAATTACAATTTGTATAAATTTTGTATCTAGTTACACGTTTTGATATGATTTTTACTATTTTTAAAAATAAAAAATCGCAGTACTTCAAGAGATTGGATGACAACAAAACAAGTGTGGTCCCCACATATCCACGTGTCACTTGCTCCAACCCCGATAACAAATAATAATTATCAAATCAAATTTGATGAAAAATTGAATAGTTATAATTTTTATAAAACCGAATTCGAATAGAACCGAACCAAATAAAAAAGAACTAATAAAATCCTATCGAATCCGAATAAAATATAATTAAATTGAATAGAACTGGGTTTAATATAAAACTAAATGATTATAACTTTTTGAAAACCGAAATAACCGAACCGGGAAAACCGCCATCAAATAAGTTGATGACAAATGGGTTATGATGGTGGTCGGTCTGCCCCTTTGTTAAACTTAGAACACAAGACACGACCTCAATTGGTTGGGCCAATCAATCACAATGCATGATTGAGAGGCTGTAACATTTCCCACCTTTTGGTTATCTTTTAATTTGAGTTTCTGCGTTTTGTTTTTATAAAAAACTATCATAATTTTGTTTTTTCAATGGTTTAAATTGTCTAGATTTGGGGTTATCATAAAAATAACATTTTATTTTATATTAAAATTAATTTAAGTTTAAAATTTTACGTAAATTTAAATATAATTATATATTATACAATCCAATTTGATTTTTTTTCATTAAAAACCAAACTTGCAATCTTGCAAGTAACCCATCAGGCACAATTCGTAATAGCCTAAGCAACGACAGGCAATGACCAACTCTTGTGAAATTGCAAGGTAAGCTACCGGTACCATGGATATATATTATTCATATTAAAATTTGAATATGGTTTTATTCGAATATATTATATATTATTGGGATAAATACAAAAATATTGCCCCAATCAAAATATTTTCCCATAGTACGTACCCAACGACCTATTAATTAAATAATACACCAAATTAAACATTCTGGTGCCCAAAAGGGGAAAAAAAACTAGATAATCTCTCTATAAATACATCAAAACGGTAATAAATAACCGACATATACAATAATAATTAATAACAACGATAAATGTTAGCATAAAATGCTAGAATAATTTTGGATATACATAAATATTTCCAATCTTGTAATTTATATATTTGTTTTACCGCTGCCATGTAAAAAAGATTGTTAGTATATATGTCACTTTTATTTATTAATTACATTGTTTTCAAATATAAAATAGTAAATAAATCGATATGTACAACTAAAAGGGTATGCGTAGTATATCATTTAGGGTTTTATATATTTGATGCTTCTTTTTCACTAATAGTTATTAATTAACTTAGCCGTACATGAAATTAACTATTTAGGCGTAATTAATAGTATATAATGACGTAAAAAAATATTCAAACTTAATTATAAAAGTAATTACTATCTTTTACATGCCATTTGTGAACGATTCCTATCACATAATGAAATCAAATACATTATTAGCAATTAAAAGCTCAATATTTATTTAGAAACACGTCGTTTTTACCGTTTTCTGCATTTGGAAAAAATTCGTATTACTTTTAGTTGTCGGCAATTTATTTTCTTTTCCTAATAATGACAAGATAAATAACCACCAACAGAGGAAAAAACAAAAATAAAGATGGTAAAAAATAAAAAATATTTTTTGACGGAAACATTATTCAAATGTGAGATTTTAAGACCCAAATAGAATAACTTATCTATAAAAAAAATGTTAAATCAAGAATGAAATTCTGTGCTGGGAAAAGTTGTCAATTTGAGATATTCAAGTCCGGTACCGTTCAAGAATCAAACCGGTTTACTAAACCGACCGGTTAAGAGTAGAGTGAGGATCTCGATATGAACCGCAGAAGTGTCGGTGGCTGAATAAAGATTAGATGGCTTAAGACTTCGACACTGATAGACACTTCACTACGAAAAAAAGGTCCTTTGGCTTTTGACCAAAAAAAAAAAACACAGAGCGGTCTCTGAATGGAAAGCTAGCTTGTCTCTGTCTGCCCCACAAAAACCTCGCCCCCTGATTGTTGGGCTTTCCTTCTCTCTCTTTCACTGCAATTTACAAAAAACAAAAACAAAAAAAACCACAAAATTTAATATATAATCACTTCCGAATCCTCAGTTTCAGTAAAAAATCTCCAAAACCCACTTCTTCTTCTGTGGAGAGAGAGAGAGAGAGAGAGGAGAGGAAGAAGAAGAGTGAAAATGGGTGTGGATTTGAGACAAGTGGTATAGGAAGATAATATTCTGAGAATACAACTCTCAAGCTCTTCAAACGTTATCAAACAACACCAACTCAAGTCTGACTACCCCACCACATGGAAGATGATTCGTTTAATACGATCACAATTTCAGTTTTCAGTTTTTATGTAACAAGATTGAATTCATCATAGATGATTCATCTTGAGGGGACATATAGGAAGATATTATTCTTAGAATATTATCATTAATATTGTTATGATTTACCCTAGATATTATGCCTAGAATATTCTATTATATTTTGCTATATATTATGATGTATTCTTCTCATTATCTATAATAGAAAAACATTTCCCTATTAAGTGGTTGGTGGAATTCTTACGATCACCATGTTTGTGATGCTCGGACAGATGATTCATAGAGATTACTTCGATCCGTCTCAGGTGACACCGGCATGTCTTTGTCTTCTCCTTCGTGTAGGAATAAGTTCTTCATAGGATTAGGTCCCACACCGTAGATCCACGTTGACCCACGGGCCAGGCATCCTAGTAAACTTGATGTCATCAAGGCCTCACATGCGTGGACTCCTCCACGTTGTTCAGGTTGTGGCAATTTTGGGCATAAGATTCATGGTTGCCCCTCGAAGCCTGCTAAGTCAATTTCGTCGGCGGAGACAAATCAACTCAACGTGTTAAAAATTAGTTCCATCTACAGGCATTGAAGAATGTCTATCGTTGATGATCACACTCGAGTTACATGTTTGTACAGGGATGTGGTTAGGGGTGGGAATTTCGCGATTTGGCTCTAAATCAATTCGAATCGAAATTAATTTAAATCAATAATTTAGTATAATTTTTTGTAGAATCAAATAAATCATTTCTAATCAAACCGATAAATACCGAATCGAATCCGTTTAATATCAAACAACGTTCTGTTCCTTGACATGCCTGTAGGAGTTGGATTTTCGTACTCAAACACTTCCTCTGATTTGCTCACCAATGGTGACAAGAGGACCGGTAATGTTTTCCAGTGTCCTTGGTTAATCAAACTGCGTTAGAATGAGATCCGCGTTCTGTGTTTCGGCATTTTAGCTGTGACAATTGCGAATTTGCAGCCCAAGATTCTCTGAAGTTTCTGCTGAAATGGTTAGAACGCTTTCCCAAATACAAAGGGAGAGACTTTTATATAGCTGGGGAGAGCTACGGAGGTGAAACCTTTTTGTCACTGTGACTTGCTTGTTCGTTCACTTACAGTGGTGAGAGATTTATATATATATATATATATATATATATATATATATATATATATATATATGTGTGTGTATATATATATATATCTCTATCTTCTGTGCCGTTGTAAGACACAACCAAGCTTCTGAGGAAAAAGCTACTAACATTAAGGGTTACATGGTGAGAACATCGTCTTATCAAAGTCATGTGGCGTGTGTTATTTCGTGACAACGTTAACTCAGAAAGATTTCGATCATTGTGCACTCCAGGTAGGAAATGGGCTGATGGATGATTTCCATGACCACCGAGGTCTTTTCCAATATATTTGGTCACTGGGTTTTATCTCTGACCAGACATACAACCTCCTGAATCTTTCCTGCGGGTTAGAGTCATTTGTTCACCCGTCCGAAGCATGTCAGAAGGTTCTGGATACTGCAGACAAGGAAATGGGAAACATCGACCAATACATTGTCTTCACCCCAACATGCCCTGCAAACGTCTCCCAGTCAAAACTGTTGCTAAAGAAAAGACCTGTGAGCATATTCTGTGTCCTTTTATTCTCCAATTTTCAATCTTGGTTTTGCCCTGAGATTGTATCTGGTATGATGTGTGATTCGATATATGGCTTGATAGATATTCGGCCGTGTCAGCGAAGAGTATGATCCTTGCACAGAGAAGCACTCTAGAGTGTACTTCAATCCTCCAGAGGTTCAAAAGGCCCTCCACGTCCCACCCGAATTTGCACCATCCAAATGGGACATTTGCAGGTACAACCCCATCTTCCATGTCCGTAGAACAAGTTTCGTTATTTCTAGGTTTTGTCATTTTTCAGATGAAAGAGCTGATGTTGGATAAGTTAAGTCAGTGAATAGCCAATACCCGGTATCAATTTTTTTTTTTGTTTTTTTTTTCTATGAAGCTCTGACCAAGATTGTATTGCATTGCATTGCAGTGATACCGTGAGTGAACACTGGAATGATTCTCCACCCTCGGTTCTGAACATTTACCACGAGCTTATAGCCGTTGGACTTCGTATCTGGGTTTTCAGGTTTCTATCTGTCCATCTCTGCTTCCAGCTTCTCCTCGTGAAAAGAACACCATGGAAGATGAACAAAAAGACATTCCTTTTTTTCCCACTTTAGTTCTTGCCATTCAAGAATTGGTGCCTTAAAGTACGGTTCTTTGTAACAGTGGAGATGCTGATGCTGTTGTACCGGTCACAGCAACCCGTTACAGCATAGAGGCTCTCAACCTTCGTCCTCTGAGCCCATGGTATTCATGGTACATGGATGGACAGGTAATCTCCATGCTCATGAATGCAGATTCTGTGAATTTAAGCGACAAAGAATCTTTCTTTCTCCAAGCCAAGATTTAAAAAACCATTTATGTATGAAATGAAACTATTTAAACAAACAGGTCGCAGGCTGGACCCAGCAATACGCAGGATTGAACTTCGTTACAGTGAGAGGTGCAGGCCATGAAGTACCTCTGCACAGACCGAAGCAGTCTCTTGAGCTCTTCAAGGCCTTCGTGTCTGGAAATCCGCTACCAACGTCTGAGAAGAACAGCGGCCACATGCCTGAACAAGCCATTGTTGTCCCTGAACTTGTCAGTGATGCATGATGAGAGCTCTGCCTGTTAAGGTTCACTGGGGTTTGATCAGAAACTTTGAAAGAGCTATTCTAGGAATAAAGAGGCATATAATTCAGACGTTTTTGTCATTCTTGAGATTACTGTCTGAAGCTTCTGATAGTAAGAAAGAGGCTATATAATAAGTGTCTGCAGCATGTAAGCCTCCGTGGTTACTTGACTCATCAAGAGAAAGACATCTCGTCCAAGGAAAAGGGATATACCAAAAATTAGGTGGTGGGACTTAAAAGGTCAAAAACATGAGCTATTCGAGAAGGAAATGCAAAAATTGAAGGTGTGGAGAGAAGACAAAGAGGCAAACGAAATGTGGTTAGATATGTCATCTAGCATTAAGAGTGTTGCTAGAGAGGTACTTGGAGAATCAAAAGGGTATGGACCACCAACAAAGGAAAAATGGTGGTGGAATGAAGAAGTACAAAAGGCTTTAAAGACCAAAAGGGATTGGTATAGAAAATTGCCTACATGTAATACAAACGAGGCATATGAAAAGTATAAGTTGGCTAAGAAGGAGGCGAAGAAAGCCGTTAGCCAAGCAAGAGCCAAGGCCTTTGAAAGGATGTATGAGAAGCTCGAGACAAAGGAGGGAGAAAACGATATCTACAGAATAGCTAGAGCGAGAGAGCGGAGAACTAGAGATTTGGACGTGGTTAGGTGTATTAAGGATGAAGAAGGCAAAACTCTATTTAAAGACGACGACATCAAAGCGAGATGGAGAAGTTACTTTGATGACCTATATAACAAGAACATGGAAACGGACCACATAGAACTAGAGACCGTCACTAAGGAGAGGAATGTCGGTTATACTCGAAGGATTGGATGTGTAGAGGTGAGAGACTCGTTAAGAAAGATGAAAATAGGTAAAGCATGTGGTCCCGATGATATACCTATTGAAGTGTGGAAGTGCTTAGGAGAAGACGGAGTAATTTGGCTTACTAGGTTGTTTAATAAAATCCTAGTGTCGAAGAAGATGCCAAACGAATGGAGGCAAAGCACTTTAGTCCCTATTTTTAAAAATAAGGGAGATATCCAGAGTTGCACAAACTATAGAGGCATAAAACTCATGAGTCATACGATGAAGTTGTGGGAAAGAATCGTAGAGCGACGTTTACGTAGCGACTCATCTATTTCTGTAAACCAATTTGGTTTTATGCCCGGAAGATCTACAATGGAAGCAATCTTTCTCATC